TAGCGGTAGTAAGAGGAAGCAGGAGAGTATTCTTTGATCTATCTTGTACTATTAACTTTAAGGTCTCCTGCTGCTGCAGCAGCAGCAGCAGCAGCAAAGGATTATTGGCACAAGCAGCAGCAGACACTAAAGCCCTCACAGACTTCGAGTCTAAGGGTAAGCTTACTATGCTACTGCTGCTGCTGCTGCTGCTGCTGGTGTTTGTTGTTATTGTTGCTGCTGTTGCTGCTTCTGTTTGTTGCTGTTGCTGTTTCTGCTGCTGCTGTGTGTTGCTGCTGCTGTTGCTGTGTGTTGCTGCTGCTGTTGCTGATGTTGTGGTTTGTTTGGTGGTTTTTTCCTTCAACTGTCTGTCTCCTTAACTGTCTCCTTTTTTTTTTCTTATCTGTCTCCTTTACTGTCTCTTTTTTTTTCTTATCTGTCTCCTTTTTCCTTGGGTGTCTCTTTTACTGTCTTGGTGTCTCCCCTGTCTCTTGTGTCTCTTCTTTCTTCTTCTTTTTTGTCTCTTACTTCTATTTCCTTCCTGTCTCCTCTTATAGCCTGTCTCCTGTCTCCTTTTTATAGCCTGTCTCCTGTCTCCTTTTTGTAGCCTGTCTCCTGTCTCCTTTTATAGCCTGTCTCCTTCCTCCTATCTGCTGTCTCCTTCCTGTCTCCTTCCTATCTCCTATCTCCTGTCTCCTTCCTGTCTCCTTCCTATCTGCTGTCTCCTTCCTATCTCCTATCTCCTGTCTCCTTCCTCCTATCTGCTGTCTCCTTTGTGTCTCCTATCTCCTGTCTCCTGTCTCCTTCCTCCTATCTGCTGTCTCCTTCCTGTCTCCTATCTCCTATATCCTGTCTCCTTCCTATCTCCTATATCCTGTCTCCTTCCTATCTCCTATATCCTGTCTCCTTCCTATATCCTGTCTCCTGTCTCCTGTCTCCTGTCTCCTGTCTCCTTCCTATCTCCTATATCCTGTCTCCTTCCTGTCTCCTGTCTCCTGTCTCCTGTCTCCTGTCTCCTGTCTCCTTTCTATAGGTCGCTTAGTATTACCAGAGGTAAGTAGTGCAGATGGTCAAGGTATGTGTTGGTTAGAGGGAAGTTCTTTTTCTTTTATTACTCAGCCTCCTCTACATATTAAATCTTGTAAGTTAATTAATTAATTAATTAATTAATTAATTAATTAATTAATTAATTAATTAATTAATTTAATTTATTAATTTATTAATAGATGGATAGATAGCTAGCTAGCTAGCTAGCTAGCTAGCTTGCTGGGTGGATGGTTGGGGGCGTAGATGGGTGGGTAGACAGGCAAGCAAACAGCTAGATAGCTAGAGGGTATATAGCATATATTATACCTCCCCTTATTGCTGCTGCTTGTGCTGCTGTTGTTGCTGCTGCTGCTGCTGCTGCTGCTGCTGCTGCTGCTGCTGCTGCTGCAGTGATAGACGAGGCGTTGCATAAGTATAAGGAGTGTGTTGCTGCAAAGATTCAATCCTTCTTAGATGACTGCAAGGCACTACCTTGACCAACACAGCTAGCTAACTAACTAACTAGCTAGCTAGCTAGCTAGCTAGCTAGCTAGCTGGATGGGTAGCTGGATGGCTAGTCTAGCTGGCTAGCTCAAAGATTGACTAGCTAGCTAGTGAGCTGGCTAGCAGGCAGGCTAGCTAGTTGGCTAGCTAGCTAGCTAAAAAAATTAGCTAGCTAGCTAGCTAGCTAGCTAATTGGTGGACAGTGGGCGCGCTTGCTTTCTTGCAACTCTTGCATTCCTCGGATTGTTATAGCTAGCTAGCTAGCTAGCTGGCTAGCTACCTAGCTAGCTAGCTAGCTACTTAGCTACCTAGCTAGCTACCTAGCTCGGTAGCTCTCTAACCGACCATCGTGCTAACTGCTCGCCGGCTAGCTAGCTAGCCAGCTAGCTAGCTGCATAAATAGCTAGCTAGCTAGCTAGCTAGCTAGCTAGCTAGCTAGCTACTGTACGATGTAGTGCCTATTGTCTCTTCTTGTAACAGCAGCATCTGCAGCAAGTTGTCTCCTTCTAATAAGAAGTAGGCAGCTGTGCAGCAAGGGACCGCTGCTCTGCTGCTGCTGCTGCTGCTGCTGCTGCTGTTTATTCTATTGTTGTTATTACTGCAGCAGTAGCAGGAGCAACAGCTATTGCTGCTGCTGCTGCTGCTGCTGCTGCTGATAGTGCATGCAAAGAAGAGAGACAAGAGGGCTGGCGAGCTGTTGGCTTTCTTATAGCCAAAGAGACAAACAACGCAACATCTATACAAACTATTATATACAAAGAGACACACAAGGAGACACAAAAGGAGACACAAAGGGAGGAGACACATAAAAGGAGACACAAAAGGAGACACAAAGAGAGACACAAAAGGAGACAGTTAAGAAAGGAGACATAAAAGGAGACACTTAATAAAAGGAGACACAAAAGGAGACACAAAGGGAGACATAAGAGGAGACACAAAAGGAGACAGTTAAAGGAGACACAAAAGGAGACACTTAATAAAAGGAGACACA